ATCTAAGTTGCTTACAGATTCACAGTATCCATAAAATATAAATTTTGATGTCGCTGACATTTTCCTGACAAAACCCTGACCAATAGCAGAGTTATCCTTGGCTTTACAAACAAACTAATTTTAAAAAAAAGTCTATTAGGAGAGAATAAGTAAAAATGCTTCGATAGGTGCCAACTTCCCTGAAACCGTCAGCTCAAATCAATGGACATTTCTCTGAATTACTTGACGTGAGGCAACCCTGTGATGAAAGGTGCATTGTAGTGCAAAATTTGTTTCCAAAGTTAAAGGAAGCCTGGTATAGGCAATCATTTTACTTCCCACAAAAAAGAGAACAGCTCAGAGAAAATTGTAAAATTTTAAAAAAAGTTCTAATCACAGTTTGATAAACCACCATCAGAGTATTCAACACGTGATTCAATTGCACAGCAATTGGCCGGTTTCCTTCTCACTCCTCAAAAAAACTGAGAGTAACATATTTTAGGATACAAAAGATGAACACAATCAAAAATAGTAGACAAAAACAAGCGTGCGAAAAAATACATATGGCACTGTATGTCCCTACATGACTAAAAGAAAAAAAAAGTTAATAAGCTCCTAATCGTGCCTTGCCACTATAAAAAGTAAGAAATACGTTTTCTGCTTAACAAATAATAGGAATCTAACTCAGCTTAAATACGACTGACTGACTTGTTAGTTAATGAATTGACAGTTAGGTTAGGGTTCGTTAACTAAGGACAAGTTGAAAATAGCAAGCATGCGCTAACACAAAACATTCAAACAAAGGAAACTAGTGATGGTAAAACACTGATAGAAAGTATAGAAACAGAATAAAGACACTTATTATGAAATTTATCAAGTAGTTTGCAATCTGAGCAACCTAAGTACTTACTACGAGAGAGGGCTGACCATAGTTATTCCAATAGGACAGTTACAAATATATGGCTGTAGAATGGCGAAATACACCAATACCTCGCTTGAAAAGCGTACACAAATAATACATGAGGAAAATTCGTTGTTGAAATCTACAGAAATATCGCCATCTTGCAAGCGAAACACCGCAGTAAACACAAATAATAGTGAACAGTGTAACTATTCAGAGCGTAACATTTGTAACGGAACGTTCATTACAAGTACAACTACCGTGCGAAAAAAAGACAAACAAACACAATAACAATCAAGCTAATTGAGAGCAGAAACCAGTTGTTTTTGTTGACTTTGGCGTTTGTGGTGACTATGGCTACCGCATCAGTTGCTAGGCAAAGCCGGATATCCTCCTTCCTAAATCTGGTGTGCGCTAGCGCGCGAAATATTTGAATATTTAGAGGGAGAGAGGGGTGACTTTGCTTGAGGAAGCTTTGTGTACACCACGTCTCTCCCCAAGTTCGACAACATTAGTGTACAAGTCTCATACAGAAATCTCCATGGTTAAAGAGGGAATTCATTTGAAATCCAAACCTCTTTAAAGGTGAGCAGACCAGAAAAGAGTAACTTCAATTAACGGGCGCCGTATTGCTGGTCTATGTCCCCAAGCACCAAGAGGTCCATATGTTTCAGGCTTGGCTAGTAGCTTCAAGGGGAGGCTGGTGCCAGAAATAGTGAGGACTCTATAGTGACGCGAAAAATGTTGTACAAAACTTACTCCGCGATCGGGTCCGAAACATTCGCAGAGACGATGATAAACTGAGAGGGTCGAATAAAGGATCGACACCGTGCTCATCCTCCTCCTCCTCATCTTCGTCATCCTCACAGGCGATGGGGTCCAGACCCTCGAGATTGTAAGAGCCAAAACTTAGCCAGCTCATTTTCCCACCCACTGATAATCGCTGCTTCAGCTTCGTTGCAGCGCAATGCGGAGAGAGTTTCAAAGATGCCGGGCGCTCAACAATGTAAGTACACTCCGCCTTCTCTCTTTCGTCCTAGCGTCGGTCTTTCAGTTTTACCAAGCTGGGTCGTCCAAGTCCCACACAATTGTATCAGGGATACAGAGATGATGTGTTTATTTAAGAAAAGAAATGTTTATGAGTGTAGTTTTAAGTTTTTTCTTTGTTTGGAAATTGAAAATGTCGTGTTTTACAGAGTCCTTCTTGGGGGTTGGTACTTCTGACCACATCAAATTTAGGCGCGCGATCGTGCAGCAGCAACACAAGACAATTTATGCTATGTTTCCGTTTGCATTTTCGGTCAATGGTTTTATTTAGGAAACGACAGTTGTACAGGCTATAAGTAATATCTATCAACAACTATGTCAGACTTAAAAAGTAAGCAAATGCTCTGCAGATGATTGTTTAAAGTATTTCTCCCTCACCCCCCACAAATTTTCATTGCTCTGTTTGTCTTTGGAAAGATTTGGTTATGATACAACTTTTGTTCATTTATTCCCATAACTATTACGAAGTGAATTTTAACTTTTTCATTTCTTTGCTTGCTGTCAATGTGTTATTACAATTGTGAATATTTATCTAGATGCAGTAACATCTGTTCTTACTATGGATTTTCCTCTCTTGCAGATTTATTGCGCCGCCTTCAAAGAACATTAAATGAAAAAGATAAACTCGAAGCACTTGAAGATATTGCTGAGTATTACTATACGAGACGAAATTACCATGATGCACTTAAGTATTATGAGGTTATTATTAACTCTGCTTAACCAAGAGCTTCCTCTTTGAAATCATCTGAAAAGTGCTATACGATACAAGTTAAAACTGTATTTAAATTTTTCATTTGCAGGAGGAGCTTGATCAAGCCCTTAAATTAAATTTACCTGAAAAAATTGCAAAAACACATCGGATGATAGGGGAATCAAAATTAGAGTTATCTGATTATGAAGAAGCTTTAAAGCACACCAAAAAATACTATGGTACTTCACATGCAAAACTTCAAAATTGTAATTTAGGATCAAAACAATTTTTGATTAATATTTTTATTATACTGTTTGGGTTGCAGACTATACTAAAGCCAGTAAGACTCTTCTTGAAGAACAGAGAGCTCTGACCACTTTAGGGAGGACCTATTTAGTTCAAGCTGACAATATGTCAGATAGAAGCTCACCTCCTGCCGTAAAGGCATATGAGAATGCCAGACTGACTTTGTGGAAAAGCTTGGAATTGTGTGAGAAGTAAGTTTACTTTCAAACCTCCTACTTATTTATCTACCTACTTAAGCTGCTCAACCCTAAATTTCTTCATAGGCTTCAGAATGAGGTGGACACTTCTGAATTAAATGAAATGAGAGCAAGGTCGATGCTAAATCTAGGCCTCACATATGAAGGACTTCAGGATTATGAGGAAGCTGTTCGCCAATTTGATAGAGTATGTCTTGTAATGCTTCGCAATATTTTATTCTTGTAATCATTGTATACTCCATCCATGTTGGTTCATTCTTGTGTTCTTCTCCCAAGGCTATGAAATTATGTCGGAAACATAAGATAGATGGTATTTTGAAATCATGTTGCTGTAGTTGTGCGTCTGTGTTTGTTTATCTAAAGAAAATTGATGAAGCTATAAAATTATATAAAGAAGCACTGACTGCAATAAAATCTTTACCGGATAAAGAGCGGGTGAAAGAAACTGTCGACATATTGTTTTTACAGTCCGAGGTTGGTTTAATTCATTTGATAAGTTTTCTTTACGTCGTACCTTTAACTTTGTTCTATATAACTTCCATAATCATACATTTTTGGTCCTAGTGCCATATTCTGAAAGAAGAAGTACACCTTGCGAGAAAAATTTTGCATAAAGCATACAAAATGTCAGAAAAACCTTGCCGTGAGGATCTTCAACAACGTTTAAAATTAGGTATGCATATTAATTATACCAGGCAAGTTGGGAAATGAAATTATTATTTTCAAATACCATATATTATAGAAATTTTCAACACTTTGTTTGCAGTGGCAGCAATGGACATACATTTCAAAACACTTCAAGATCAATTGAAACCTCAGGATAAATACAAAATACATGAAGAATTAGGTGATGCTTTTTCAAACTTCAAGATGTTTTCTGTAGCTCTTAAACATTATGAGGAAATGCTCAAGGTATAGTTTTTGTTTGAATCATTTACACAATACTACTTGTTCTTGTCTTCTTTGCTAAATTTGTCTCGCTAACTGGTCTATTCAAAATAACTCCATCTTGTTTTTAGTTTGGGAAAATGGCAGAATGTGATTTAAAGGCTTGTCTCGTTTCACTTGCTCAAACATGTAAAGATTTGAAAGATTATAGGAAAGCCCTGTCTTATTTTGAGGAGGAACTACAATACTGCAAAACACCAGAAGATGTAAGTGCCATATTCCAAGCTATGTATTCCAACATACCATGGGAGATGAAGGTGACATTCCTTTTTAATATTTTACAGATTTGTGAATCTCTTCTTAATATACAAGAAATTCAAGAAATATTAAAAATGTCAATCTCAGATCAACTTGAAATTCTTCAGAGAGCTTTAAACATAGTCGAAAAACTAGACGATCAAAAATTGAAAAGGAAGGTTTATATTGAGCTAGAAAAAGCACAAAGAGCTGCACTTCTTACTGATGAAGCTCAGGAAACAAATGCAAAATTGAAAGAACTAGAGGATCATTTATCAGGCTCTGAATCTGATGATGAAGAAGAAATAGAGCACACACCTAATATTGGAGAGTATATTGACTGTGATGCATTATCAGGTAATTTTGAGATATGTTCCTCCTTTTTAAGAATTTTTCTTTCATGTGTTAAAACTTGTATGTCTTTGATAGATTGCAGTGAAGACAATGAAGAGAGATTAATAAATACATGTAATGTGACAACTAGTCAAGTAGCAAGACGAAACCCCAAACGCACTAATCCGGGAAAACCAAATGAGAAAGGGGAAACAAAGTTGCATCTAGCATGTATAGCTGGGAAAATAAATACAGTACGTACTCTACTAGGTCAAGGTTGTGATATACATGCTACTGACCATGCAGGATGGACTCCCTTGCATGAGGCATGTAATCATGGCTTCATTGACATAGTAGAATTGCTACTTGAACATGGTGCAAATATAAACCATAAAGGAGGCCCGGCAACAGGAGGAATAACTCCCCTTTATGATGCTGCCCAAGCTGGAAACTTTGATATTATGGATTTATTGCTTGATCACAGGGCTTCTGTTTCAGAGTTAACAAATAAGGTAATTAAAAATAATTATTCAAAGGTTCCTAAAAGTAAAAAGAAATGTTTAAATTCCACATGTTATACCCTTTTTATTCAATTTTTAACAGGGGGATAATGCTCTTGATGCATTAGTTGAATTCTATGAGCGAGGCAATGCAACTATGTCAGCAGAGGACAAGCAACATTATTTGGCCGTGAAAGACAGGCTGCAAGCATGCTTACAGAGAGGTAAGATTATTTTATTTTCATTTTACTGTGTGCCAACATAATCATGGTGTGGACTGCATACTTATTATATCTTTGAATTTTAGATGGAATATTATCTAAAGAAAAAAAGAAAGTTTCAAGTGTTGAAAAGAGAGGAAGAGAATATCGCAATGCTCTTACTGTAAAAAGTAATCCTAATCCTGCTGGAAAGTTAAGAAGAGCTATTAATGATGATGATCTGGAAGAAGTATCCTATAGGAAAAGATCAATGGTGATCATTCATGCATACACATTCTACAGAAAAACATGTGTGTTAACTCATTTTTAAAAGTCATTGATCTCTGCTTTTTTTATTTAGAGAGAAATATCTCCTGTTTCCAACATTTGCCTGTCATCAGATGATGAAGATAATGATTTCCCAGATTCGAATGAAGGAGAACAAGGAGTTTCAGAATATATTAGTGCCATGAAAAAATGCGGAAGAAAGGCAGAAACTGTAAGTTACCTTTGTACTTCATAAATCGTTATATGTACGTATTGCGGTTGAATATTGAAAGAAAACACCTGTATTTTCTAGCCTGTTCCTGAGCCCATAAAAAAGAAATTCCATCAACCTCTTGTGAGTGAAAGTGAGGTGGTTCACGATTGGTTAGAAGATGACATCGGTGAGCAGCCAAGCAAAAAACGAAGGAAGTCAGATCAAACTTTCAGCTCCTCATATAAACCTCTGAGCCTTAAAAAGAAGAGTACCTCAAGACTCTCTTTGAATAGCTGCTCCTCTAGCCGCTTATCAATTTCTTCTAACGAGGCTCGTGAGGAAACTAGATTATCCACTGGGTCAAGAAATTCTGACGTGTACATAGAAAGTACATCAAGAACTGTTGATGATGATGATGATATGCAAATTGATGGATTTCATCATGAAATAAATGATGATAGCTGGTAATATTAAATGTTTTAGCATATCGTTATTTTCTGCCTTTGAATTATGAGTATGAGTATATTGCTTCAGTTTCTTTGACAGGCTAAATTCAACAGCTCTTGATGCTGCAACCCCACAAATCAGTAATGCTCGTCAGTCTTCTATTCTTTCCTTTGGTGTAACACGGTATCCTGTTAGCCCTGCTCACTCGGTTTCTCAGGCATCTGCCCCACAAATTACTTCAGCACCCAACCGTGTAAATGTTAAAGTGGAAGATCACCTATTGGCAATTTTTGTTCAGAACCCACTTCTCACATTTGGGTGGTTGGCTAGTGAAGCAGCAAGTAGATACAAAAAGTAAGTATTAAAAAAAAAGCAGCCTTAAAGGTTGTGTAACTTGTGAAAGGGTGCTATATTTTCCTCTTATCTTTAAGATTGGATGGTTGTGAACCAGTTCTGTCTATCTACTCTTCCGATGGGGCACTGTACTCGGAAGCAGATCCTGTGCAAATGGTTCTAGGCTGTGATGTTCTTGGCAAAGTTGAGTCGTGGAAGGATTCGTCCATTACTGAAAGATATGAAGAAGCTTGCACAGTTTTGTCCTCAGGTAGAAGATCACCTCCCATGTAGCTTGATGTTTTAATCCTCATTTATATTTTTAAGTGATATTTGTAAATAAGCCCATTTTCATTTACAGACATGGAAGATAAAATTGTGTCGTGCTTAGAAGCTTGCCAAGCTACTCGGAGTTTAGAAATTGTTGATAATTTGTACCCCAGTAACATTTTGAAGCCCGCCTTTAGAGCCATATCAATGGAGCGAAATTTAATGAAGATTGCCTTGTCAAATAACATTCTTGATGACAAGGGTGTAAAAGTAAGTAAGGATTGCCTATATGTTATAAAAATAGGCATTATATTTACAATTAAATCTTGCCGCACCCTCTATTCAAGGACCTTTGTGCCCATTTGGCAAAATTGTGCAACTTGAGGGAACTTGACCTCTCAGGGAATAATTTGTCTGCTCTTGGTGTCGTTGAGTTGACCAATGCTGCAAGCAAAGGCTTTCTTAAGGTAAGTAAGCTAGATTTTCTTCTATTTTTTCTCTTTGTTCACAATGTTCATTTGTATATGATCATAATTTCTAAAAATTTCGGAATGTCTCTGTTTCTTACTAGGCTCTGACAAGTCTCAATATTAGTCATAACAATCTTGGTGATGCTACTTTACCACACTTAGTACAACTTACTGCTTCAACACCACAGTTAGAACATTTATTCTTGGCTGATTGTATGTTCACAAAATCTGCTTGGGACAAATGTGATACGTTTCTCACACTAAACAATTTAGAAAGTTTAGATCTGAGTTACAACCAACTTCATGCGAGGGGGTTGGCAGGGTTTCTCGGCTTTGCTGATTATAAGAAGGTTGGTCAAGAACACATTTTCCATATGACAGATGTTTTTTTCGATCCTGGCTTCCTAGCATTTGTTTGAATGTCCAGGAACGTCGGCTGAATCCAGAAAGACTGAAAAAATTGTATCTCCTTGGGCTTCAAGGTGAACGGATATGTCAAGAAATACTTTTATTCTTGGAACAAGGAAATTCAATTGCTCTCAGAGAATTGCATTTATCCTACACCAAGATGCAAGATGAGGAACTCGTATTACTAATGAGGTATGCTGACTATGACGAATATAGGAAATATTATATTCTACAGAACCAAAACTGTGTGATGTACCCAATATTAATTGATTTAAAAACTTTGTTCCAGTGTATTGAGAAATGCACCAGAACTGCACACCTTGCGTCTCCCAGCATCAAAAAATATAAAAGCTTCTACTGTGTGTGAATTGCTTCTCCAACATAATTGCTTAAAAACCCTAGAGATTCATAATTGCAAATCTTTGTGGAAAAGTTCCAACAGTACGGACATAGTTTCTGCTATTAGTCATGCAGCTATGAATTCGCTTGAGACTTTAACTTTACGAGATGTGCCAGAAACAGGAAGGGAGGTTTGGAGTAGTATAAAAGGCTCATCTTCCATCGTGAAGAGGAGTGCTTTTGGTCTTTATAAATTATCGTGTAATGCAAGTATTTTTTAAGTGTTTTTCTCATTTTTGTACTGTTCTTATTTCTGTTTACTGTTAAATACTAGGCTGTGATAATTTCTAGTGGAAGTTTTGAAACTTCTATAAGGCTTTTAAAATATATTTATTAATTATATTAACATTTACAACAAATGTTTTTTTGATCTTTTAAAAACCAGTTATCATTTTGGGTGTTTGTCACAGATATGTGCATTTTGAATCATGCCTTACAGCCATCTAATCAAATAAGGGCTTAAAGTTGTGAACCTGCAGAATGTTACATTTGTCTGCTGAAAGGGGCTTATTAAATTATTTTAATGTTTCAAGTCAAAACTAGGACAGTGGTGTATTTTGGACCCTTTCAATTATTATGATAACACTGCATAAAAAATACACTTGGTAGTAGGTTGAACAATGAATGAATAATATAAAATTCATCTTAGGTAACCAATGTGGCTTTTTAAAAAACCTCATTCAGTTACATAATATGCCTGAACAAGGGCATATGATGTTTGATTTGTTTTATGACAAACTTGCAGCTTCATCAATTGTTTCGTTGAGCTGATTGTTCCTCCAATCTTGTGAGACATCATCTAAGTGGTTGTCAAAGTCCACAAGCATCTTAAAAGCTCGTTGTTCAAGAAGAGCTGCTGTGGTGTCAAGCACATCATTATTTAACCTGTAAGTTTGAGAACAAATATACATGTAAATTTATTAACATGAGTCAGTAAATGGGCGTGTTTCATAACAAATACAGTCTACGCACTTGACATCCTTTGAACGCCACTTTCCATCATTGTACTGGGCTAAGGTGATTCCGGGTGTCTCCATGCTGAGAGTGAGATGCTGGTTGTCCAACTGAAATAACAAGCAGTATGTTTTATCAGCAAGATATTTTTGAAAGTATTCTTTGACTGGATGAGATCAAAAGTTACTTACAACAACAAAACAAGCTGGGGGAAAGTTTTCTGCAATTTTATCAGCTATCCTATTTGCTGCTCTATCTACACTAAAATATAAGGGGTGCGGTTAGAATTTAAATTTGAACAGAATTACAAATGTTGTTTAATGTATGACGTAGATTACCTGATATCCGATATATTTTCATTTGCAACATAATAACCAGCGATAGTCAAATCTTTGCTTGCAGCAAGTTGGTCTACCTAAAATATAAGGGTGGAAAATTAAAAGTGTGGCCAGATTGAACAAGATTAGGCACCATAAGTTTTTATTTATTTTTATAAGCTGTAGTTTGGCCGGCAGTCAACGGCGAACTAACCTGAGTGAGAGCGATTTCTGCCATTGGTGAAACTTGTAGGCAAATGTGAAAAAGTGGCACGGCGTCTGTCAACATCAATTCATCTTTCTCCTTGTTCAGACGACCCAATAACAATCCATTTACGGCACAATGTGGATATTTGGCTGCGTGCAAAATCATTTTGCAGTACGCCCTGGCGCCCACAGTAACTTCGGCCATGGTTCTGTATCCACTGATTACTGTCTGTAGATAGGTAACCACAATTCAGACTAGCAACATTAAATTAAAATACTAGAGATGTTTCCTTGGTTGCGAGCAGGAGGCTAGATTCATTCACATCAATTGAATGAGTGAGCTATTATATGCATCCCACCCCAAACTCAGCAATTTGTTGTCATGTCAGCTAGTGTCGTCCGCTGTCTCTTTCACAACGCTGACAAACCTTCAACAAACATGTGTAACTATGTCATAGAATTATATTTTCGGAAACTTACAATAATGAAAGACCTTCTAAACAATACATTAAAACTTCCTCGAACTAAAGGAAAAAGCCAATAAACTTTTCATTCACGAAGTTTGAATTAACTGGACCAAAGTACGTTGGATCGTTGTATGTTGTACGTCTGCTATAGGTCCGATAAGTTTTACGAATATACTGAAAGGCCGTGACGTCCGACATGTTTGTTTATACACTTCGCACGATTTAGTTTGGTTAGAACGGCTAGAAATTCAGACAATAGCGAGTATCGCCAAGAATGATTCCAACTCCAGATCCTGCCTACCGCGTCGGAGATTCAGTATTACCTGGTGACGATGTGTCTGCGGCTGTTCGTACTGGTGATGTTTCCAAGATAGTATTGGGCCCAGGCTTAAGGCGCTTAGGATCCCAGGTTGTGGTGTCTCGAGCAGGTGTGCTCAAAATGCCTAAAAATAATGTGTTCGTCGTCGATGCTTATCAGAAACGATATATTCCTGTGAAAGACGAACATGTTGTTGGAGTAGTTACAAATGCTAGTAGTGATGTTTTTAGAGTAGATATTGGGGCTAGTGTAACTGCATCCCTTTCGTACTTGGACTTCGAACATGCTACCAAAAAGAACAGGCCCAATATTCAGGTAATCTCTAATACTTTATCTTCATTACTTTGCTTCATTTTTTAAATGTTTTTTTTAAATTCATTTTTGTTATGTTTATTTATATTTATTTAGGTTGGAGATGTTGTATATGCCAAACTCTCTACAGCTGGCCGTGACATGGAACCTGAATTAGTTTGTGTAGATACCCATGGTAAAGCTGGGAAACTGGGGAAACTAGAAGATGGATTCCTTCTCACATGTAGTCTCAACCTCATTCGTAAACTTTTGTCAGTAAATTGCCCACTATTGCAAGCTCTAGGCCAGAAGTGGCCCTATGAATGTGCCTTTGGTATGAATGGGAAGGTGTGGATTAAAGCAAGATCAGTTAAAGAAACTATTGCAATTGGTAATGCAATTTATGAATCTGAACTAATGGACAATGCCCAAATTAAGAAAATGTGTACAAATTTAGGGCTTGTTATTGATTCTATGTAACTCACAAGCAAATATAAAATGTATTAAGTGTTATATGTACAAGTTGTTCTTTTCAAGAGTAGAGAAGATTAAATAATTAAATTAATTACAAGGTATGCTTTTGTTTTTGAGTTTATTTCAGAAGTTTATCATTCAGGGTTGGATGTATCTGTTTAAGGACAACCCCACTGTCACTTATGCCACAAAATTGGTATGCCTAAATATAAATTAGCCTCAATATCACTTTTCCTAAAGCATATGCTGGAAATGAAGGTCAAGAATGTTGGCAAAAGCATAGGAAATCATCAGCAAATTGGTGATGCACATCATCTCAGAGCAGAACAAAACTTGTCCTGCTTGGAGACCAGGTGCATAAATTGCACAAATAACTCTCAGGGAGTTTTACAACCTTGATCTACATTTTCTACCACAAGAGTGCAGAAAAAAAAAGAGGCATGAAAGTCATTGTTTACACTTAAAAACAATATCAACAATGTTTCTAAAGTTACCTCATTTCATAAAATGATGCAACCCAGTGTTTTCTTCAATAGAAAGCACAGTTCATTTACATTCCATACCATGTACAAAGCCACAATTTTTAATCATTATTTCACAAATTTATAGCATCTTTAATCATAATTTTGAGTCAATACTTTGAAGTGGATAGAAATTCAAGTTATTATGTACATAATAATGCAATTTGCAAAAACAAGAAAGGTCACTGGTTCTCTTCACTGTCTACATGCCCATCAAAGCCTACTAGCCGCAACAGCAACACACTCACAATCACACAAATAATCATACATACATTACATACATACTTTACACACACATACTAGTACAGTTGTTGCACAGAGGCAGGGAGAAAGGGGGAGGGACACAAAAGTAAACATATTATAAAATATCTGATGTATAAATTAGTTGAAACACAGATGGACTGCATGATAAGTAAATAATAATTACAACAAGATTGACATGGTTGGATGCCTGCAGTGTTGCACAGAACTAGACTTTAGCGGCACTCCCACACTTTTACTGTTTGGTCAACACTACCAGTCACCACATAAGGGTGCGTCTTGTGGAAATCTAGAATCAAATCAAATTTAATAATTATAAAGAGATATGACAAACATAACAATAATGAAATTAGACTTAACCAACTTACCAACAGATGTGCAGAAATGTGTGTGAGCATCAAGCTTCTTCGAACAACGCTTGTTGCGGAGATCCCACACTCTTAAAGTCTTGTCATCTGAGGCACTTATAAGAAACTTGCCTCCTGGATGAAAAACTACACCTCGTACCCAGTTATCATGACCGAGGAGTGTAACAAGGCAAACACCAGTGCTCACATCCCACAGCTGAAAGAAGTGAAACCATCTTTTAAATGTCAAACAATTCACATTTGTCTCACTAACAAATTCAATTTCAAGAACCCACCTTGATTGTTTTATCACGTGATCCAGAAGCCAGGAATGGACCTTGATAGGCCCCTTTCTTGTTATCTGCACCAGCAGCCTCATTGATTGCTGAATGAGAAGATTCTGGGGCCCAGGCAATGCATTCAACTACATGGTCATGGTCTCTCAATTCAACCTGGACAAGATTAGAAAATTAGAAAAAACACTAAGGGTACATAGAATGCAGCAGCAGGTGGGGACTTCTTGAAAGACCGACTACACAACTTACTTTACATTCCTTGGTCGACACAGCCCAAACTCTGACAGTCTGGTCATTTGAACAAGAGGCTATTAGAGAGCCATCCTGATAAACTCGCACAAGTCGCACCCACTCCCTGTGACCAGTGAAAGTCTTCACACAATACCTGTGGCAAAAATTAAATTTTTAACCAAATGTAATACGGGATAGAGCTTCACAGTATTTTCTATAATCTCAATTTACTCACCCATTTGCCACCTCCCACATTTTGATGGTCTTGTCTCTTGATGATGACACTATAAAATCGCCGCCAGGCATGAAGGTGACACTGGACACGTTATGGTCGTGGCCATGCATCGTCTTGAGGCAGGCATACGATTGCTGGAAGTCCCACAATTTGATAGACATGTCTGCACTGCAGGACACTGCAAACAGAGGCAACACTTGTTGACAACAATTCTGCACACTCAAAACTCGGTGAAATCAGTTTTTTTTTGGCTCACCCAGGAGCTTGCCCGTTTGGTCGAACGCAATGTCCTGAACAGAGTCTGTGTGTCCTTTGAGGGTGCGCTCGTACTCTCCGGTTTCAAAGTCCCACACTTTGAGGGTGGCATCTTCACTGGCTGAGACCATGAGGCTAAACACCGGATGAAAAATGACCTTGGTAACAGGGGCCCTGTGGCCGGTTAGACAGTGCTTCTCTGGAGGGCGAGGTATCCATTCGGCAGGTGAACGCTTCCCTCTAGTCGGAGCCCCCTCTATGAACTCCTTCTCGGCCTCCGAAAGTTTGGACTCCAGCTCCATGACTTTCTTCTGGAGCCGAATGACGGAGGTCCACTTCTTCTCCAGGAGTCCCCCATACTTTCGTTCCACTTCTCCAGGCATGTCGGCATCGCGTTTGAAGGCCTCAAGAGCCTCCATGTAGCCATTGCTGCTCAAATAGTCAGCCACTGCCTTGTTTCTGCAACAAAAGAGACACATCCCGTCAAACACGCGTAGGCCGACACTATGGACGCAAGGGCACTTGACATTTGGTGGCATTCTATGACATTTCGGAGCAACACAACACCCTGCGGCCCCGGGCGCCAGTAGTGCCGGACCTGCACTGTAAGTTTCTTAAGACCAGCTGCTCTTCATGACGTACAGAAGACTTTGGATCGTCCATAATACGAATAAATTAATCGTGTTACGAGGAGGTAGGTTTGTGACAAACAATGTGCTAGTAGCACTACAACCGAGGTGGTCGTTATGTGTAGAAGTTTTCGTTCATAAAAATTATGACTGTCCCAAATTATCTGTATCTTTATAGACTAAATTCGAATTATGAAGTTTCTTTCGCAAGAAACTTAACGTATGCGATCGCAAGTAAAACATTTTCGAACAGCGTAAAATATATCCCCCACTCGAGTCCGAAGTCTAGGTCCAACTCAGGGAGAAAGGATAATGCTACGCCTACGCGACGCCACTAACAGAAGTAGCGCCATCGGCACCCCGGGCACGTCCGTCGTCCGTCGCCAGCCGCAGGGACGGGCAGAGCCAGGCAGAGCGCCACTCAGGGGTACAAAACTACTCCTCGCTCCACCTCCAACACCCCCACGCCAAAAAGGGCACGCACTTCCCTCCCGAAACTTGAGGGGAGCAAATTAATAATAATAGCGCCCAGTTACCGTCTGCCTGCCTGTCTCGCCCCGCCCCGTAAGGCGTGATGAGGGCCCCCAGCGGGGCCCCCGGCGCAGCAGTCACTGAGCCTCCCGCCAAACGCGCCGCCACGCCACGCCACGCCACTCGGTCCCCGCGCCCGCTGCCTGATTATATGCGCGAGCGTCACCAGCGCCGTGCGCGTCATCATCACCATCATCAGCTGGAGGACGGGACGCCAACAGCAAGGCCTGTCGTCTGTCCCGCCCGTGTGCATACTTTGGACAGGTCGCTTAGCTTCTAGCGCTATATAGCCGGCCGACGACACCGCGCCGCCGTCGTGAGACTCTGCGCTGCGCGCGCGCGAACGCGGGCGGGACCTTCAAGTGCAAAGTCGAGCCGGGCCGGGCGGCGGGGACCCAACTTTACCCAACAACTGCCCGGCCGCCGCGGCCGTGCGTCAGGCGGGGCAGAGGCGGGACCACCGGGTCGAACACACTGTCAGCCTGACAAGTTGCTGCTACTTGGAGCTTCCGCGCGGCGCCGCGGCATGGTCAGTAGCTAGTAGCGGGCGGTAGCGGGCGGTAGCGGGCGGTAGCGGGAGTGAAGTGACCTTGCATTCCGAGACAGACGCCACCATCGTCATGCCATGCCCGGCTGGGCCGGCCGGCCCGCGCAGCTGCAGCCGCCCGTGAGCGGCAAGGGGGAATGCCCAGCCCGGGGGAGATAACGTGCGACCAAGCCCCGACCGCCGCGGAGCCGCCGAGCAGCCGAGGTCCCGCGAAAGCAAACACACACACATTTCGCTCAGCGACGTCGCGACATGTCATCAGTCCGAGTGAGGCGCACGACGGCACGAGCATGGCACGGCACGGCACGGCGCGGAGGATCGAATCGCCGCGGACGGAGGTCGCGACGCGCCAAACAGCTGACTGCGGCGGAAGGGGGAGGGGAGGGGGGCCGCATCCTCGGCGCTGCGGGCCATGATGGTGCCGCCGAGCGGGCCGGGCCGGGGGGCCGAGGATAAGGTCAGGGACGCGCGCGCGAGCGGAGCGTCCCCATCGAGTGCGTGTGAGGACACACTCACATTAAGGCTAAAAGTAGGCAATTTGAAGTGCGACTTTTTCCGAAAAAGGCGCTACCTTTACAGAAACAAAAATTGGAAAAATTGTAACTATTTCTAGAAAAATTGGAAAAAAGAAAGAGATTTAAAAAATAATCTTGAAAAGTTTGCCAAAAAACACTTTTTGCAAAATTCCAATCCCTGCTCGGAACCCCGGCCAAAACTCGGCCCCAACGACAACAACGTCGTCGTCAACAACGACGCACTGGCCGAGCGTCTGCTGCTTGCTGTGCTGCCGGAGGGAAGCCCCACACGACACGGCGCGGAGCAGCGACTCATTCGCTTGCTACCCGGCGCGGGGCTCAAGCAAAAGCCCCGAGGGAAGGGCCTTACGGCTCGCTCGCTGGCGCGGCAGGGGGAACGGGTTATTCGCACCGGGTCGTAAAGTTGCGCGCGCCCTCCCCGTCTCTGCACCGACCGACCGACCGACCGACCGGGCCCTGCCTCAGGGGGATAGGGCGTACGGTGTAGGAGGAGGAGGAAACTTGGTACTATCACCAGGATGTGGGGTGAGCCCTGGATGAGCCAGACGTAGAGGTTTTGGGTAAGATAGGGGGTAGCCGACTGCGCCGGGGTAGGGTGCGGCACTAGCCACACCCAAGCTTACACCGGCTGCACCAGCACTGGTGGTGTACTAGCTAGCGCTAGCTACACTCACTAGCTGCATCACAGAGCAGGTGCGGCGCGGCTCACGGCCACCCACGCGGGGGGCCGATGAGATAGCGCGCGAGCGCGACCAAGCCACCGTGGGACTAGGTCGCGTCGCATCGTCACTACACTGCACAAGAGGGAGGGAGAGGGAGAGAGGGGATGCGACACAAACGTCTTCAAAGAGTCGGTGCGACGCGACGCGCCGTACAAAGTGCATCATTATTTCCACTTTTTCCGCGTAAAACGGGACGCGCGAGCCCGTGTACGAGAATAAGGAGGGCCCGCCGGCCCAAACCTCCAAACTTGGCAGCAGCAGCAGGGCTGGCCTGGGAGCGGGCAGCAGAGACAACAGAACGGGCCACGGGCCGGACCCCGCAGGCGCAGGCACTCCGGGGGCCACGCCACAGCCCGCGAACTCCGCAGCCCAGCCCCCCAGCCCCAGCACGCCCAATTCTGGAGCGTGCGAATCAAAGGAGCCAATGAACGCGCGCGCCGAACAAGGCGGCCCGCTCGCGCTCGCGGCCGCTCCGCTAACCGAGCGGCTGCATGCCGCGCCGCACACCGCGCACGACCGTGAAGCGGCGGCAAGGGAGGAAAAAAAATAAAAATAAAATAAAAAGTAGCATGAAAAATACATGCGGGTGAAATAATAAAAAGGCCACTAAATGAAAGGACATGCCCTGGCACACACCGGCGTAGCCCTTTAGCCACCACCCCTTGGTCTCTAAAAGCGTAGGGGTCGGGGGGGTTGGTTCGTTATTCGTGGTTACGACCGCGTGGGGGCCATGCCATACCGAGCACAGCAGGGGAGGTACGGGGCACGCTCCCGAGGGAGGCGGGTAACATACCCACTTTTACAGGTCGAGTGAAAAGTATTTTTAGGAAGTTTTTGAAGGTTAAAAACAAATTTCCACATATTTTCCTGAGACATTCCATTATTTCTAATTCTACTGGAAATATTTCAAAATTTATCCATTTTTTTCCTGGAAACGTTTATAATTTTCCTGGAAAAGATTTTCGCACTATCCGCCGGAGAACTGTGCCGCGCATCGCAAATATGGCAAACAACAGTCCGTCCGCAGAGTCGGCCCCGCCAGCCTGCATCACCACCAGCAGCAGCTGCCTTATGTAAAACACACACAGCGACGCATACATCAGTTCCGCGGCGGCACAAGGCGTACCCGCCTGGGCGGGGTCGAGCGGGGCCGGGCGGGGCGGGCGGAGCCCCTCTCCATATCCGGGCGAGGCGGCGGCACAGAGACAAGCAGCACCTGCTTCCCACAGAGTGTGGGTGGGGCCCGGGGCCGACACCTCCGGACACCTCTCGGCAGAGTGCAGCAGCACACGAGACGCATACCCGCCGCTCGCTCGCTCGCTTGCTTGCTTTCCCCCCATCATGCGGCAGCAGGACGAGTGCGAGTGGAAGCACCTTTGCCCCGTTCGCGCATATAAGAAGAGACACGTCGCCGTCGCAGGAAACGAGATGGGGATGCGGGGGGAAAAGTGAGATAGAGATAGGCAGAGGCGCGCGCGGGTCTTATAGAGGAGGGAAGAGAGTGCCGTTGGGCGTCCGACTGGACCCAAACGACCTGAACTGCCTTGTATATTTATTTTTTTGTTGTTATCGAACGTTGTGTGTCGGCCCGGCCAGGCAGGATAACGCCCCCTCCTGCCGGCCGGCACCAGCCAGGGCCCCAGCTCCAGCTCCAGCCCCGCAGCCTCCGGGCGCACTCTTGTCGGCCATCTCCAGGGCAGTCCCCTCCGGCCACCACCAAATAAAAGGAAAATGAAAACAATAAGAAACGGCAGAGAGAGAGAGGGAGAGGAAAAAAGGGAAAGAAGTAAAGGCAGACGTCGTTCTTAGAACAGAACAAGCCTTTTACCGCCCGAGCCCGGCCCGAAGCGAGCGGCCGCGAGGCCAGCCAAGCCCAAGCGGCGTCGTCTGACCATCAGTTATTGATACGACAAAAGCACCGAGGTCCGCCACGCCACAACACCACACGCCGCCCTTCTTCAGGGTGGGTCGGCGCGGCTAGGGCTGTGCGATATCCAGATTTTGATATCGCGATAAGATATCGACCACGTATCGAACATCGACTCGATGCACCGAGTCTCGATAATATCGAGCTATATCGCAATATCGAACCATAGAGAAACGATATATTCACAAATGGTCGAAATATCGCGATATCGTAGAATTGAGCAACATCGATATTTCAATATCGATATCGGGTGAGTATCGAGACCTCGATATCGGACAATAACGAATAGAAATATCGTGATATCGCACAGCCCTATAGGCGCGCGGCGGTAAGTCACCGACAGAATGCAAATCAAGTCCGCCCCCCCCCCCCCCCGGGCCCCGGGCAGGCACGCAACCAGGCGTGCCTTTCTCGTGGCGAGATAGACCACGTCGTCGTCGTGTAGTACTTTACGCTGTTCAAAACGGGCCGAGTCGAGTTTCTCGCTGCTCCTGATTGCTATGGCTGCGACTCGCGGATCCAATTTCAGATCATGACTCCCTGAGAGAGTCATCCCGCTCATGACCATAAGAAACTTCTAAAAGAAAAGCGTCACGCGTTTGAAAAACACGAATATAACGGGTCACCGGGCGCGGCAGACTCTAAGGGGGCGATGCGGAAATTGGACGCTCAATTTGGGCGATAAACATGACTTGCCGCGGCGTTTACAGCGTGACGCGGTGCTGGAGGTGCGAGGGGGGAGGGGGCTGCTCAAGCTCGAGGGGGCTAAAGGTCACGACGTCAACGCACAACGCCATTTCCACGCCGAGAGGCGATGAGACGAGCCGGCGCAACATGTGTAAAAATGCAGAAAAATAATAAACACTCGACAGCGAGACGAGGAAAGTCAATCGGTCAGACGGGGGGCCCCTCCGCCTTTGCTTCCGGCCGGAACCCAACTCGATCGCCTCCGCGCTCTTCCTTTCCTATCCCTAATTGGTGGGTAGTGGGGCTTCCCTCCCTCCCTCCTGCAGCCCGTCCCGCCCGCAGATAGGCCATCTCCCCTCGCGCCCACCAAACAACGCCCCGCCACGCCGCCACACAAAACAAAAACACGCAACGCCGTTTTCGACCAATTAAAAACAGCCCATAGGCCAGCAGCAGAGGGGCGTGGTGGGCACAGCAGGGGGGCGCAGGTCGGGCGCGCAGGGCTGATATCGAGCCCGCCCAGCCCATAGCCCCGCCAGCGACCAGCACCGAGCGACACAAGCCGTCACGTCACGTGACCTAGGCTATACAGGACCTGCCAGGGTATAGAGAACCTGCCAGCCAGGGTGTACAGGACCTGACTCCCAGCGCCCCTGCTCCGTTTTCCACAGTGCACTCTTAAGCCTACACCAGGCAAGCTCATAAGCATGCGCGTTTGCGCCCGGGTACACTGGCTGCCGCGGCCGCCCGCCCGCCCGCCCTTGCCGCGCTCGGCCGCGGGTCCGTCGGGTCGGATAGGCCAACTGGTTCAAGTTCGCGCGCATACATGAATCCCAAGGCGGCCGCGGAGGAGGCGGCCCGCCCTGCGGCCTCCGAGCTGCACGGCACGGCCGCCAACCGTATCACAACAACTATCGACCCGCCGCGACGCGCCGCCCTCGGACAGACGACGCCGGGCCGGGCGCCGGGGCGCCGATACAGGCAGACACTCCGTCCACACAGAGAGCAGCGGGGCGACGCCGCCAGACAGCAAGGTCGCCAGGACACCGACGCACTTTAGCGCAAAAGGGATACGAAGAAGGACAGGGGGTAGGGTGGGATGGACGTGGGGGTCGCCCCATCTCTTAGAAAAGGACATCAGGCAGAGAAGACGGAGATAAAAACGCGGGAAGGGCAAAGGGGGGGATATAAAAACACGAGAAGGGCCAGAAAGGGAAAGGGAAATAAAGGGAGAGGGAAAAGGGAATAAAACCAAACGCAAAAAAAAAGAGAGGAAGAAAAAGGGGAAGGAGGGAGAGGAGAGGAAAAAGAGACTTAAAAAAATATACTGTGTAGCACACAAAACGTTTTTAAGGGCCGTCATAAAAATGCCATGTACTGCAAACATGAGCGGAATGAGGTACGACGGCGACGCGACGGCGGCGGCGGCTCGGGGCAGCGTCCCGCCGCCCGGCCCGGAGCACGAGCACGCACAGCGGCCTCAAAACAATGCAGTAACGCATGAGAGCCGCGTCAACTCGACTAAACTAGGTGGGCGGTTGACGCCGTTGTTGCTCTGGGCCGCAGTGCACGGTGTGCAGTTATACGCTGCACAAGCTGGGAGGGCGTGGGCAGCGGCTGGCTGGCTGGCCTACCTTTATCATCACGACGACAACGCCTTCGGGTGGGCGCCGTGCGGGTAGGCAGCCCGCCCGCGCCCCTGCGTGCCGGTGCAGTATCGCGGCGAAGCAAGGGGTTCGTTGGTCGCACTCCCGCATAATTATCACGTCGAGTTGCGCCGATTTTGCGCTCGCGAATACTGTTACCACGTATGCGGGGAAAACGTTCCGTACCGTAGATACAGCACGTTCTATGCACAGGTGTGGTTGTGGAAATTTTTTGTCGACAGATTGGGTAACTAGGAGGAAACACTAGAGTGGGTGGGCACGTGAAGCAGTAAATGAAGCTTGGACCCATCATGCGCTAGCCGCAGAATTTGTATTTACCACCACTGCAGATCGAGCACGTTATATGGGAAAATTTATTGGCAATTTAATTCACGACTCGTTCCTCGCGAAATCCCAACAGAGAGGTTATCTTTTTACAACAGTGAGTGAGGGGTGAGTCGTCAAAGACGTGCGACGACGTTGTCGCACCGAGCCGCACCAGCGCTTTCACCTCGTGAAAACAAAAAGGGCCAAACCGAGGACGTCTTCACATGGGGAAGTGCAGCGCAGCACAACCCGGACGTTGTTTACCAGGGCGGGCATGCAAAGAAACGCTCTCTGAGACGCAAGGGGGGTTGGGGTTGTAACGTGGGGGCACGTTTGAACATCCGTGGTACCGCATGGAAATAAGTTCAGCGAAATGACACTTTGATGAGTACTTTCAAAAAGTGTACATGAAGTCTCAAGTCTAATAGATTAGAACGCAACACTTTTGCTGACACTTTTGGCATACTTTTTGTATACTTCAAGTACTTTTTGGACACTGTGGCCAGTCATATTTTAGGGTAGTTATTTTCATGCGGGGTGGTTTCTAGTCTCGACAGCCAGCCAACCCTCTGGATACATCCAACACCCCTAGCACCGCACCCCGCCCCGCCCCGCCCGGCCACGCCTCACACGTTCACTCTGACGTCAGTGCGGCGGGGTGCTGCGAGGCCCGGAGTCTACCCACGTCCCCCTGGCAACCCCCCGGGCCGGAGTACCAAGGCCAGCCCGGCAGTGAAGGGGGTTGGATTGGGGGAGAAGAGGAGACTGGAAGAGAGGGAGGGGTGCCTGCCTCAGGTCTCTACGGGGCGGGCGGTAGCGGGTCGACCCGGCACTCCCTGCTCACCCATGCAAG